CAGTTTCTCCTGTTCCCTCTCTGCCCCCCCCCAGAAACTCTCTCCTAGACCCCAGGTGTCAGCGCAGTTCCCAGGGCGACCCGCAGTCTTCTCCCCACGCTCCTTCTCTGCTGGTCTCAAATGGGAGCAGATCGGCCCCCCCTCAGGAGGTTGTTCCTAGTGACGGGGGGCCGGCTCCCCGCTCTCAACCACCTCGGTGCCTTTGTACTAAAGCAAAATCAGCCAGGGGTATATTTTTTTACAAGGACAGTCTATTTTTTACACCCTGGTCCTCCCCCTCCCCACCTGGCGCTCTGTTCTGGGCCTTGCCCCCTTCCCAATCCTGCTTGCGATGCCCCCCTGTGTCCCAGTTCTTCCTCCGCACTGCTGCCGGCCACTGCAGCTCTGGGGCGCGAGGGGTGCAGCCAGCCTGTCTCTTTTTTTTTAACCAAATGATTTTTATATGCTGGTGTGCATTTGCTTGGGATGGGTAGCGCTTTTCTGAAGCTTTGCCAGCTGCCCTGTGCCTGGCAATGCAAGGCCTGGAAGCCGTTCATTCTGCTCTGCCGAAGCACGTGGGTGGTGTGGCTCTTGGCACCGGGCATGCCCGGGCAGGGAGGGTGGCAGCTGTGAATCCGAGAACAGCCAGGGGCTGGAGTTCACAGCTGCAGGCAGCCACAACATGCCTGCATCCCGGGTGGGCTGGCTGGAGCCAGCCAGCTGTCCTGCCGCCTCTGGATTCATGCCTGCCCTTTGTGCCCTGGGGGGCTCCATGCGGGTGGAGTTTGGCCAAGGAGTGATGGGTTGAAATCTCAGCAGTCCCCTTGGATTGTCCCCCTGGTGTCCATGCCATCGACATGTGCCTTCCTGCTCTCTAGGGGCCCCCACCACCCTGTGCTGCTGAGCCAGATCCTTTGGCAAGGCAAGGCCCAGAGTTGGGGTAACTACCCCCCTGCAGAGCGCTGAGAGGGCTCTGCTCTGGGAACCAGCCCCCAAAAGGAACCCAAACAAATCCATTTTATCCCGTGTAATGCACAGAGAAAGCTCATACGTCTGCCTGCTTTATCCATGAAAGAGAGATGTACAATGGTTGCTCCCCCAGGTAACAATTATTTACATCGGGCTTCAGAATAAACAAAGTGTTTTTTATTAAGTACATCCCGGCTGTCAGTGGTCGTAAAAGAAAACAGATCAAAGTCAGTTACTAAATGAAAGTGACTATCCAAGGCCTAGCTAGTTCTAATCCACTGAGAAACTTGTTACATGCAAACGCTTACCCTAAAGCAGTGTTCTAAACAAGCTAAGTACTTTCCTAGCTTGGGCCGGATCCTTTCCCCGTTCAGTCTTAAATGTTTGTAGTTGGCATCTTCAGTGGTAGAGGGGGGGGGGGGGACTGTTTTTTGCAAAAATATGCAAATGAGGGAAGTGTGGAATACTGCTGCACCTCGTTTGCATAATTAACGAGGCTCCATTTTTGCACAGAAAAACCCTCTTATGCAAGAGCCGTTCTTCCACATTTTTTCAGGCAGAATGGCTCTTGCATAAGGGGGTTTTTGTGCAAAAATGGAGCCTCATTAATTATGCAAATGAGGTGCAGCAGTATTCCACACTTTGCCTCATTTGCATATGTTTTTGCTCAAGAGGCTATAGTGTACACCAGTGGTCCCCAACCTTTTTGGGTGGTGGGCGCCGGGCGGGGCTGCTGGGCCACCCAGGGGCGGGGTTTGGGCCACCTGGGGGCAGGGCCACCCGGGGGTGGGACCAGGGCCGGCTCTAGGTGTTTTGCTGCCCCAAGCAAAACATTTTTTTGGCCGCCCCCCCAGGACAGGCACTGAGGAGGAAAGCGCCCCTTTCTCTTTGACTCCCACCACACTCTCCGGCCAAACCCAGCCTACGTCCTGTCTCCCCTCCATACACATCCCTGTCCACACACATCCCGACTCCCCCGCACTCCATGCACGCACGGAACCCAATTTCCACCTTCTCTCCCCTCCCAGGCAAACCCCACCTCTCAGTGACTGGACCCAATCCACCCTCTTCTCTCCCCCACCTGATCCACCCTGCACCCTCTTCCCTCCCAGCCAAACCAGATCCCGACCAGACCCAGTTTGCTCCCCCTCTCCCACCTCCCCACAATGACCGAATTCCGTCTCCTTTCCCTCTCCCCACCAAATCCTTGTGTCCCCTCCCCACAGCACGTGCGGAAATGTCGGAGCACTCTGGGGGAGAGGTGACAAGTGTCACGGGTCCCCCTACTTCCCTTTCTCTGCGGCTGTACACACCTTTCCCCCATGTGAAGCGGGGCCGCAGGCGCCCCCCCCCTGCAAGAGGGGAGAGAGGAGCCACCAGGCGGGGGCTCCCCTGCAGCCACTGCAAGGGACTCTGCGGCCAGCAGCTCCCGGGGGTGCTGCGGAAGTGCGGAGGGGCCGGCGTGGTAGTGCAGCTGCCTGGCAACCCTATACAAACAGAGCGCTGGGTGGGGTGCTGCCTGCGCCAGGGTCCAAGCTCCTCATGGAGCAGGCGGGGGGTCTCCTGAGCTCTCCAGGAGCTGATTAGACAAGAGGCCGGAGGGAAGGGGATAGATGGGGGGAGGGAGCTGAAATCAACAACACGCGGTGCAGCAGCAGTGCGAGTGGGGCAGCGCTAGGCGGGCGCCATGGCGCCTGCGGGCACCGTGTTGGGGACCACTGGTGTAAACACAGCCCTGGTGTCTGCTAATTCCCCTTTCTACTTGTCCCTCTTCACTTAACAGTATATCCCTTTGTACATTGTAACAAAAATAGATACATTGCAGGGGCTTGTTTTGCAAAAGCAGCTCTGAGTTATGCATATTCATAAGCCAATTTTCATAAAGCATGGGGGGAGCCCTGGAACGCGAGGTGTCTTAAATGAGCGCTGCAGCTGCCTGGCTTTGCCTGCCCCTCGCTCCTATGAGGTCCCAGAGCACTGGAGGAAGGATCGCTATTTGCCATCTTTAAGAAGACTCCGGGGTCTCAAACTCACGGCCCACAGGCCATCTGCAGCCCGAGCAGTTCCACAGTCCAGCCTGCACATGGCTGCTGGCACGTGAGTCCCTGCAGCCCTAGGGGGTGTCTGTATCTTTTCCCCCACTTCCAGCCCCTGCTTTGCCCTCTTCCCCCCATCACACCCCTCCCTCAAGCCCCCTCCCCAAAGGGATGCAGCCTCAGGGATTACTGGGGGACCTGGGACGGGGGGTCTGGCCTGGGCACTCACCATGGCAGCAGGAAGCCAAGCGCCCCAGTGCAGGCGGGCTTGGGAGATGGCAGCGGAGCAGAAGTTGCTGTGTGACTCCGTTAACCTGCAGCTCCTGTTGCCACGGTGAGTGTGTTTGGGGGCAACCCCAGCCTGCCCAGGGCCCCACGGTTCACCTGAGTATGGGGGACCAGCCCGTTCATGGGGTGGCCACTGCAGGGCCCCACAAAGCATTGGGTGCAGGGCAGTCTCACTGAACCATCCTATGGATGGGACGGCTCTGCACACGCCCGCAGATGTGCCGGTAGCATGGCACAGCTAGCTGCTGGAAGCCGCTCTGGCCTGCTGGTGGTGTCATCGGGGGTCCCTGGCAGTTTTTTTTTAATTGCCCCAGGGGTGCGAGGCAGGGTCAGAGGCTGCACGGGGGGAGGGGGCATGTGTGGGTTGGTAGGTGGGGCCAGGGGATGCACGGTGGGGGTGTGCATGGGCCGACAGGTGGGGCCAGAAGTTGCAGGGAGGAGGGATGTGTGGGGCTGGGGGGGACACCCCCCTTGCCCAAAGTCCTGCCAGCAGAGGGGTGCCAGCTGACCCTCTAGAAGGACTTGAGAACTGTCGCTGGCCCTAAGGCACACTGAGTTTGAGGCCCCAGCAAGAGGCCCTTCAGCCTAGCCTGGATCTCTGGGGCGGGACTGGAACGCGTTCCCAAGCTGCGTGGGGAAGCACCAGGAGGCTAACAAGGAGCAGCCAGCCTGCATGTGCCAGACCTGCCGGACTTCCCTCTGGGCCAGGGTTCCTGGCGGGGGGGAGGCAGGAATTGCGTGCTCTCCATTTCAGCTGGGCTTCGGACGCTGCGGGCAGGCTGCTCTCAGCAGCAGGGGGCTAGAGGAAATGACCGGGCAGGGGAGGGTAATTTCCCAGCCTGTCTTAGCTGGCGCGTGGGCCTGTCACACTTGAAGACACCATGTGGGGCAGGCGGCACTTTGGGAGCCAGGTGCCAGGTTCGAAAGGGCCCGCGGAGAAGCGGGTGGAAGTCAACACGGTGACATTCCAGGGAGACAAGTGCCAGCTGCTTCACTGAGGAAGGAACCATCAAAGGCACCAGGGCAACCTGGCAGCTGCCTGGCTGAGCCTGCGTCCCGCTGTGCCGCACAGGAGCCGGGGGGGAGGGGTGAGCAGGTGGCCGGTTGAACCTGAGGATCCCCAGCTATCGCAGGTCTCTGTGGCCACTGCGGTCTGGGGGAGGCTCAGGTCCCTTCCTCGGGGAAGGTTCAGGCCATGTCTGAGGGCCTCTCCATCCCTAATTCCTCAGCATCCACTTCACTGCCCACCGCAGCTGCCTGAAAATCCTTCCCTGGGCTTCTCAGCTTTGCAAAGAGGAGCCTCAGGGGGGATAAGACAGAGATCTGTAAAATCACGAGTGGCGTGAAGACAGTGAATAAGGAAAAGTTATTGACTTGTTCCCCTCACGTAAGAACCAGGAGTCACCCAATGGAATGAATAGGCAGCAGGTTTAAAACAAACAAAATGAATTATCACTTCACGCAACACACCGTCAACCTGTGGAACTCCTTGCCAGAGGGTGTTGTGAAGACCAGGACTTTAACAGGGTTCAAAAAAGAATGAGATACATTCATGGAGGTTAGGTCCATCAATAGCTAATGGGCGGGGAGGGTGTCCCTGGCCTCTGTTTGTCAGAGGCTGGAAATAGGCGACAGGAGGGATCATTTGATCATTCCCTGTTCGGTTCACTCCCTCTGGGGCAGCTGGCATTGGCCACTGTCGGCAGCCAGGAGACGGGGCGAGATGGACTTTGGTCTGACCCAGTGTAGCCGTTCCTATGATCCCTGAGGCTGACAGCCCTAATCCTGTGTCCTGGGCTAGGATGAGGCTGTTCCTCACCTGCAAACAGGCTGGCCCTGCCTGCTGCCCCATACCCCTCCCGACTCCACGCCTGGCTTGTGCCAAAATCTTATCTCCAGTGGCCTGAGAGTGAAGGCAGGAGAGACACTCAGCTGGGGGTGGAGGCGGGATGGGGAACAGCCCAGCCTTGAGCTGGGAAAGTAGACAAAATAGCAGAGCGCAGCCCCCAGCCCCCCAGCTGCCTGCGGGAACCAGGAGCTGCCGTGGCATTGTATGCTGCCTCTCCCAGCCAGCGCCAGCCATGGAGAAAACCGTGGTGCTCATTACAGGCTGCTCCACGTGCCCCTGGCCAGGGCCGCCTCCCGCCGGTTTAAAGGTACGTCCTGCCCCTGCGATGGCCTATTCCAGGGCCTGTCCCCCAGCGAGGGGCTGGCAAGTCAGCTGGGAGGGAGCTGGGCTCTGCAGCGCCAGGTGGTGGGAGAAGTGGCTGTGGGTTGGAGATGGGGATGCTATGGGGCAGGGGCTGCCCTTAAAGGACAGCGTAATGGTCTACGGGCCCCCTAAGCGAGAGGGCAGGAGACGGATCCTGGCTACTCCCTTCCAAGCCAGCTCAGCAGAACGGATTCCCTGGGGGGAGATGTGGGGTGAAGAACAAATGGTCCTGGGCAAGTAGGGGCCTCGGGGAGAAGAAGACTTGGACTCTTGAGCATCTGGTCCCAGCACACGCCCAGTGGGGGAGATGCCTGGCTGGGTTCGTGTTCCCCACAGATCCCCCCTTCTGCTGCACCCTGGAGCAGAGGGGAGCCGAGTCGCTGGCTCTGCCCCCTAGGGAGGCAGTCCCTTGGGGACGGGCACAGTCTTCCGCCTGTGGGGACCATGGGCCCCGGGAATCCCATTTAGGGGGACCTGCGCACTGGGGCAATCCGCAGCGATGCCTTGGAGATGCTGAGCCACCCGGGGGGGTGTCTTTGTGCTCCGCAGCGTGGGGGCACCCCTGGAGGCAGGGAAGATCCCCCCCTGCCTGCCCAGGGCTCGCCCGCTGCCCTCCCCCAGGCCGTGTTCTCCTTCTCTCCTAGTCTACGCCACCATGCGCAACCTGGCCAAGAAGGAGCGGCTGCTGGAGAGCGTGCGGGGCTGCCACGCCGGCACCCTGCAGATCCTGCAGCTGGATGTCACGGACCCGCTGTCGCTCGCCCAGGCCACGCAGCAGGTGCAGGAGCAGCGTGTCGACGTGCTGGGTGAGCCCCCCTGCCCAGGCATCCCCGGCCCCTGCCGCCTTCCTGCCTCCCGGAGCCAGCCCCCTGCCGCCCGGGCACCGAGGGAGAGGTGCCGAGTTCCCCTCCAGCTGCCAGCCCTGCCCTGGGTTCCCACAGCTCAGAGCCTGCTAGTCATTTCTGGAGGGAACCCCCCAAGGGAGCTTCCCCCCCCCAGGGCAGAGCCTGCAGAGCCTCTGCAGGAAAGGGGAGCCCTCAGAGTCGTGGGGCAGGCCCCAGGCCTCCCCCGACAGACAGCGCATCTGGGAAGAGGAAACCCGTTCCCCTCCAGCTGCCAGCCCTGCCCTGGGTTCCCACAGCTCAGAGCCTGCTAGTCATTTCTGGAGGGAACCCCCCAAGGGAGCTTCCCCCCCCCAGGGCAGAGCCTGCAGAGCCTCTGCAGGAAAGGGGAGCCCTCAGAGTCGTGGGGCAGGCCCCAGGCCTCCCCCGACAGACAGCGCATCTGGGAAGAGGAAACCCCCCCAT